CCAGAGTAACCCTGCACCACTCAAAGATCCTGTCACCAAATCAAGGGGAATTATTTTCTGTGAATTCTGTGAATTCTGTGAATCAAGGGAAATTATTTGACCCTGCAGCTCGACAGCAGGCAGTGTTTTCCACACGGTGAGGACACAGAGCAGCAGGGAGGAGCACCAAAAGCTAGTGGAACTTCCAGGCTAAATGGAAAAGCATCCCTCGGGGAGGGACACTGCGGTGGCACGGGGTGTTGGCAGGGCTCAGTGGGCTGTGCAGGGACCCAGGAGATATTTCCTGGGAAGAGAAGGGAGATAATGGGAATATAAATGATGTTTGTAAGGTGGGAACATTGCCACCCCGAGCTGCACAGCGCCGTGTGCTGCTCACCCCGGCCCCTGAGGATTTGCTGTTTTCATTCCATGCCTTGAGAGGCTGCCTGGAACAGAGGCTGGGCACAGTTAAAGGAATAAAGTAGGTGTGGCAAGCACATTTCTCTCCCTCTCAGGATTTTTCATAGAGGTGCACAGAGAGAAATGAAAGAGAAAACAATTTCTATTTCTACTCATTATTTTTCCTATGTGGAATGTGTTTGGAGAATTATTTCCCTGGGGTGATTGCTTGGTTCGATTCTGGTGAGGATTGTTTGAGCTGATGGTCAATCCAATCCAATCCAATCCAATCCAATCCAATCCAATCCAATCCAATCCAATCCAATCCAATCCAATCCAATCCAATCCAATCCAACCCACCCGGGGCTGCGCTCTCAGAGAGGGTCACAAGTTGTGTTAGAGTCAGAGAAAGTAGTATGTAGTTTTAGTATCCTCCTTTTTTATAGCATATTATTGTATTATAGCATAGTTATAATAAAGAAATCATTCAGCCTTCTGAACTGAGTCAGACATCGTCATTTCTTCCCATTGGGTTCGCCTGCACTTACAATAAAGTAGGGATTTACTAAAAGGCCTTAAAAGGGCCTTTGATTTATTAAAAGGTATTTATTAAAAGGATACACCTTGGGCAGGACAAGAGCCTGGCCAGGGCTCTGCCCAAGGGTGACCATGCCCTGAGAGGGATGCAGAGCTCACACAGGTCCAGCCTGGTGCCACTGGCACCATCTGCACCTGCAGCAGGAGATAAACTTGGGGAATAAAGCACAGCTCCACTCTTGCTTTTTGGGAGGTGTTGTCTTTGGTCCCTGGCTGCAGGGGACCTTACACCATTCATAGAAAATCATGGAATCCCAGAATTACAGAACAGTTCTGGTTGGGAGGGATCTTAAATCCCATCTCATGCCACCCCTGCCATGGCAGGGACACTTCCACTGTCCCAGGTGCTCCAAGCCCCAATGTCCAGACTGGCCTGGGCACTGCCAGGGATCCAGGGGCAGCCCCAGCTGCTCTGGGCACCTGTGCCAGGGCTGCCCACCCTCACAGGGAGGAATTTCTTCCTGGTATCCCCTCTAACCATGCCCTCATCAGTTTAAAGCAACTGCTCCCACTTCATACACTCCATCCCTTTCCAAAAGTCCCTCTCTATCCCCTGCAGGTCCTGAAAGGCTGCAAGAAATTCTCACTGCAGCCTTCTCTTCTCCAGCCCAAACGTCCCCAGCCTGTCCTGGTAGGATCTGAGTGTTCTCCTGACCAGAGCAGAACCAGAAGGGAAAAGGGAGCAATAAAGCCATCCTTCAGCTGCCCAGGGTTAATCATGGGAACAGAGGAGATTTAAGTTCAAATCCATCCTCCTTATTTGAAGCAGAGAATTGAACTTGACACCTCTCCTCATCCCAAACGGGAGTGCATTAACCATGAGAGCAGAGACTCAATCCCTCAGTTTTCCTCTACCTTCATCTCAAGCACAATTGAAGCTGACATTATTTAAACACAGAAGGAACTTCAAGGAAGTACAGAGGAGATTGGGAGCATCCCAGGTGCTGGTGTTGCTGCAGAATTTTCTGTGGGAGCAGCAGGAAGGGCACCAAACCTTCAGATAAAACAGAAAATAGAAGATGCATAAAAATGAGATAATATCACAAAGTGTGGGTGTAACTCGACATCTACTGAGCGTGAGCTGTGTTTTCACTGACATCACACAGCTTGAACTACATGGATACTCAATTTGGACATTTTTCAAAATCAATTCTTCACATTCTTAACTGCAAAAAAAAATGGTGACATGAATTAAAGATAATAGAGGGATTGGCACAACTACTATTGATCAAAAAGAAAAATAAATATTCCTATTGAATAAATTACAGCCAAGGCATGACCTTCATTCCAAGACTTTTTACCTGCTATGTAATTTGCTGGATACATTATGCTTTTCAGAAATAGTTTAAAATACAATCATTTGAAGAGCCACCTGTTTTGAGGAGGTGTAAGTTAGCATGCCAAAATTTGCAGCCTTACATGACATTCAGCTCCCTGGGAGGCTCATATTCAAACAAGCCAGAAAATCATTGAACTTAATTTCTTCTGGTCAGAGGTCATCAAATTTATAGAGTGAGAGCACAATAATTCAAGAAGGAATGAATTCAAAAATGCAAATCTCAAACAAGAGGCAAGAGGGCATTTTATTTTCCCCTTGCTGTCATAGTTTTGGGGTTTAAGCCTGGCTTCACCCCTCCATCCTTCAGCACATCTGGGCATTTTATCATGAGAAACCCTCACAAATGGGCTCCAGCTCTGGCTCCCACCTCTCTCACCCAGGTGCACACACCTGGAGCTGCTCTAATTCACACATGGCAAGTGCAGGCAGCAGCTCCTGCCGGAGGAAATGTCTACACGTGGATTTTCAGAGAGGCTTTTTATGTTTGTGATGTCAATTCGAGCAAGTTTACTGACTCCTGGGCTGCCTCTGGGATGGATGGAGCTCGGGAGCAAGCTCCTCTCCAGGGGACAAATGCCACTGGCAGCAAACATCAAAGCGTGTTCAGTTGTTTTCCAAGTCACTGCTCGGGCTCCTCTCTTTCCTTTCGTGTCACTCAGCCACAGCCCTGACCCAGCAGCAGGAACCTCAGCTGATGCCATCCTGCTGCCCTGGCTTTTGTTGCCAGCTCCTGATTTCTTCTCCAGCCTCTGCTGGCTCCGTTCTGCAGCTCCGAGCATTTCCTGTACCTGATCCCACAGAGCCGTCACAGGGACACTGCACAGGATCCTCTAACAACAGAACCAGCCCTGGGCAGCCTCACCGATTGGTTTCATACCCTGTCGGAACTCAAAATGTCCCTCAGACATTTTTGGATGTTCCAGGCTCAGCTCAGAAGCATTTGAGACCCTGGCAGGCAGCTGGAAACAGCTGTGATTTTGGGTTTGAACCATGGAATGATTTACCAACCTTGCAGGAAGAACAAGAAGTCACAAAAGTTTAGATATTAGAGTAGAAGTAGTCACAAAGTAGAGGGAAGAATTTTTGAGTGCTGTACAGGGGGGTTTTGGTTTTGTACATGGGGGTCAGAGGGTTTAAGATGGAGGGATTTGGGCCTGCCCTGTCCTCCCTCTTTCTCCTTCCTTCCCTCCATGTTCTTGGTGATGTTGGCACTCCCAGATTGGTTTAGAGTAGAAAAGCACCATTTAATATAGGTAATAGGCATTGGGGGAAAACTGTAACATGTAACACGTAATGTACCATATAAAAGATAGAAAAGCACCATTTAATATAGGTAATAGGCACTGGGGACAAACTGTACCCATGTAACACGTAATGTACCATATAAAAGCCAGCAGCAGCCCTGGGCAGAGGGGGAGAGAAGAAGCAGTCGGGAGTCAGAGAGGATGTCAGGGTGTGTGTGTGCCTCTGCCTGAGCTGTGAGCAAACCACAGCAGCCCCAGGAGAAAATCTTTTAGATATCTTTCAATAAACTGCCTTGAGACCGGACAGCAGAGACTGCTGAGCCTTTCTTTGGAAGCTCGGCTTGGAGGAGAGACTTTTCCACCACTCAGAGCCACCCCTGACTAGAGGTGAGCTCCAGCAATACCCCAAATCCAGTTTATGATGAGATTATTTTGATTCAGAGCACCTTGACTGGGTGTATCACAGAGCTGAAGTGCTTGGATGAAGACTCCGAGTGTGCACAGCCTTGCTGGAGTTGGAAGAGCTTTCCTGTTCCACTGAGTGCTTCACAAAGACACTGAGACAGTTTTTTCCTTTAAGATTCTCAGAAGCTAAAAGTAGGGGAAAAGTCTAAAAAGGCAAGAAAATCCAAGTCTCAAAGTAGAGAGTTTGTAGAGCTTTTAAATGCATCCTCTGGGAATTGCTGTTCATCCTCTTTTTTATAAAACCCCCAAGCTTACAGATTGATTCTCATATTGGTTATTTTATTGCTCTTTTATGCAAGAACAGTCAAAAGTACTCAGGGTTTGGCTGGGGTTTTGTTTTTTGCATTTTTTTGTAAGCACAGAAGTTCCATTCCCTTCTCACCAGCACTTTCTTTAAATGCAGGCAAAGTTTGAAGATGATTATTGATATTTTTATTTGTTGATAAATCAGATTCAGGAGCTTTCTGCTGGTGGCTCAGTACCCCTAAAGCCACTGGAATGTCAGGATATGCCACGGAGGGGATGCAAACCTCGGGGTATTGGTAGCTCCTGGAAACTACAAAAATCAGATTGGGGAAAAATTGAGAATTTGACAGCGTCCTGCAGACCAAACCCATCAGCAGGGAGGCTGAGCCTGCCTATCATTGCTGCAGGGGCCACAGGAGGCAGGAGGGATCTGAAAAATGAAATGCAATAGAGCTCTGTGGTAGCTCTTTGAGAGGGTGAAGCATCAGTCACGCTGCTCCCCGAGAGCTGTGCACTTCCAAAAGCCTTTTGGAGTAGTTACCAGCCCTTTGAGGGGCTGTGAATGCACTTGAGTGGTTTGAGCAGAGATATCAGCACACAGACTTACACCTTTAAATGAGGTATAACCTTCACAATCAGAGCGAGCACAAATGTCAAAACATTTCAGAAAATAATTAATCTGAGCAGTTTACTCGAGTTGCTAAGATGGATTTTGGTACAAATTGACTCACCTGGTTTTTCCCCTTCTGGCAAATCCACGTTGTGCTTCTCTCTAACATTGTCTTTGCTTTTTCAAGAGCATATCAGATTTGATTTGAAAGTAGAGCAAACAATATATTTTTTTTAAAGTCTTCATGTATATTTTATCCTAAAGCGATCTGTATCATTATTGATCGTTCCTGCAATAAGAAAGTTAATAGGATGAATTGCAAGTAGTTGCCATAGAAACTACCATTGGTCTCTTTCTCTTGGAGAGGAAGCACACAATTAATTTGTCTTTTAACCTACTTTATTGCTGCAAAGTCCATACAAATGCAGCAGCACAGGTCTAGATTCATTAAACACTTCTGTGTCATTGTGCTCCTAAATCACCTCCTCAGATACACTTCTGAAAGTGTTTATTGGAAAGAAAGTTTTGATTCCATGTATTTTCCTGCAGTTTAATTTCCCTGGGATGAGAGCAGAGATGGTCAGGGAAGGAGGATTCATTTTTCTCCTGCCCTTCATCCAACACCACTGCCATGCCTTGCTGTCTCTCCTGCCAGTAGAACCCTTTGGATCAGAGCACCCCTGGGGCAAAACCCATCAGCTCTGGAGCCAAAACACCTTTCTGGGCTACACTGGAGGTAGTTTACACTTTCTTACTGGAAGGATTTTATTTTAATGCTTTTATCACATCCTCCTGGCATTATTAATGCAGGTTTGGGCAGTTTGACTGAGTAAGGACATCAGGATTTGGCACACATTAAACCCACCCCATTCCAGGTCATTCAGAGGAAAATGCCTCTTATCTTCTGCTGGAGTTTTCTGGGGGCTCTATCCCCAGTACAGACATTAAACCACAGAAAAACAATGAAGGAAAATGTCTCTGATTTGGTTTGCACTCCCTTCACACCAGAGAAACTCAACGTCCTTCATGTAACTTCTATTTCCCAGCAAACACTTTGATATTTGCCTTTATTTGAATGAAACAGGTTTTTTGGGGAAACCTTGTTCTGTAGGTTCTCCTAGTTGCACACAGATAATTTGTGTTTCACTTTAGCTGAGACAAGACAGAACAGCATGATTCAAAGGAAGTGCAAAATAGAATAATCTTCAATGTGTGCAATTTTCTTTTTTTTTTTCTTTAATGCTAAAAAAATCCAGAAATAAATCCATGAAATAAATCCATAAAATAATGCTGTAAATACCCATATGTATTAAGCAAAATCTGTTCAAGTATTTAACATAAAAGAATCCCTCTCCTTTCCCTCCATTGGACCCACAGCTGTTGATGTCAGGCCCAAAGCCAAAGGGATCTGGAGCAAACAAGGAATGGGCAGTGAGCTGGCTTTGCAAAGCAGGGCACTCCTGGGTGGGAAGGACACACAGTTTGGGAACCACAGAGTCCCAGAGGTGTGCAAGGAGTCACCCTCAGCCTCCTCACCAAGAGGAGAAAACCCCACAACATTCCAGGAAGGGAAGGATGTCTGCAGTGAGTGAAGAATGTGGGATTCCTTAAAATCAGAGGGTTTTGGGCACGTTGCAAAAGGCAGCCTCGGGGACAGCAGGGTGGTGATCAGAGCTAAGCAGTAGCTGTAAGATTTGTCAGCAGAAAAATTATACAAGAAGTAGAATGAAAGGACAAATAGAACAATGGTCTGTGTATTAACACTTGGGTAGAATAACTCCCTAAGTTGCAGAAAAGTATCTCTGGTGAGATATTAGGAAGGTCTAAGCTTAATAATGGAGCTTTGTGCATTGTATCTTGAGGCTTACAAGCAAGTATTGTATTGGAAATAAGCCAGCATTGTTTTAACTGAAGGTACGTGTGCTTATGGAGATTGGATAGAACTACTGTCAATGTGCTTTTGCTTTGTGTGACTGGTCAAAAAGCTTATAAAGTGAGTAGTAACATTAAGTTCTTGGTCTGTTGCCTGGGATGTGAGCTGCTGGCACCTTCCCATTGTCACAACCATGTAATGAGACTGATGCTAAAAAATAAACCGCTGGAGACGCGTTCCACAGCAGTCCTGTCCCATTTATGACTTGTACATAGATCCTGGCTGGCGATAAGGAACAGAGGTGTGGTTATCCAAAAACACTTCACTCACACCCATCTGTGAAACACCAAAAAAAGCTTTGGGATTTGGAACCAAAGAGCAACCAGAGTTTCCCTATGAACAGTTCTTCCCTACCTCCTTGTGGAGACTGAGGGAATTATTCCCAATTAAAAACCCACCACAAGCTCAGGCAGCAGCTGATGCATTTTTGGGTTTATCTAAAAACAGAGGCCAGACAGAATTAAGGGAATAAAAAGCTGAGGCATTGAGGTGTCCTTGATTGCCAGGCCTGGAGAGGAATTGTTGTGTCTGCCCCAAATGGGGAAGCAGCAGCTCACACTGTGTGTGGAGTTTGGAGTTACACACTAAAGAACTGCAGGGGTACAAATGGATGGAAAATAGAGAAGCTGAAATCCTGAGGCATCAGAGCCGACAGGGACACTTTGCAGCTTTACTCCAGATCTGCCCACAGAGCTTTTTTGGGAGCTCATCCACCACATCTGCATGCAGAGGGACAGGAATGGTGGGGAAGAGGAGAGCAGAGACCCCACAGCCCCTGAGATGCACCCGAGAGGAGGGGGTGGAAAGGCTGAGGGCATCGAGAGGAAAAAGGTGAATAAAAAATAACAGAGAGGTCAGGGAGTGGGATCCTCACAGGCACAGCTGCAAGAGGGGAATTTTAAGCACATTCCTGTCAGAGGAGAGAGCAGAGGTAAATCCTTGTAGACAGGTAATTCATTTTTTCCACCTCCTACAACTTCAACCCTCAATTTACACCCTTATTAGATCCTGTCTGGACATCAGAACTTGCTGAAACATGGCACAAAAGGTAGGGTCTTTTTTTTTTTATTTTTTTTTTAATAGTTTATTTTTGGATCAGCTGATAGAATTGTTTGTTATAAGCATGAAAAGTGAGATCATGCTTTTCTTCTCTGTAAGTGCTGTAGCCAGAGCAGGGAACTTATGAGAATGTCTTTTTAGAAAAATAATCCAAAAGAAAACAACATGAAAAAAACCAACATGAAACAAACAACTGAAGATTTAAAAACCTTAACAAATGAAGTGGAGCTCACAAATAAAAAAAAAAGTCTTAAGATTAGTACATGAAAGAACAGTTGAGGTAATTAAAATAGGAATACAAAAGTGAGATTTTCTTTTTCAAAAAGTGTGGATTTTTTTTCCCTCTCCTTTCTTATGAGCCTGAAGTGAACTTTTGTTTTGCTTTTTAAGAGAAAGCAGTGGCTGATCTATTCATATTTGTTGACAAAAGCACTTCAGCAGCTCAAGGAGGAAGAAAGGCTTGATGGAAAAGGGATGTCAGTCACTTCCCACAGTAACAGTGCTACCTTTGAGGGGGAAAGACAATGGAAAAACACTTTCTAAAAGGACTTGCCTCCTGAGAGGCAATAAAACAACCATCCCAGACTCAATTCTCCATAGAAAACTGATTTTCAAGCGAATTATTCCCTTCATTTTAGGCCTTCAAGTCCTGCCTGTGTAGGTGGAAGAGAAAGAACCCCAGCCCGGACAGGCTGTCCCAGACCTGCAAAGCCCTTGCCCCCCCTTTTTGTGTGTTTTTGCTAAACCTTCCTCTGTGTATCTGTGTCAATTGTGCCTTTAATCTCAGTTTTAATTTAGGATTTCTCATCAGCAGGATTAGATCTCTGTCTGCTCCCATCACCTTGTAAACATCCCATCCCATCCCATCCCATCCCATCCCATCCCATCCCATCCCATCCCATCCCATCCCATCCCATCCCATCCCATCCCATCCCATCCCATCCCATCCCATCCCATCCCATCCCATCCCATCCCATCCCATCCCATCCCCTCCCATCCCATCCCATCCCATCCCATCCCATCCCATCCCATCCCATCCCATCCCATCCCATCCCATCCCATCCCATCCCATCCCATCCCATCCCATCCCATGGATCCAATCCCATCCCATTTTATCCCATCCTGTCCCATCCTATCCCATGGATCTAATCCCATCCCATCCCATCTCTCTCATCCCGTCCCATCCCATCTCATCCCCCATCCCATCCCATGGATCCCAGCCCATGGATCCCATCCCATCCAACCCCATGGATCCCAGCCTATATCATGGATCCTATTCCATCACATTGATCCCATCCCATGGATCCCAGCCCATCCCATGGATCCCAGCCCATGGATCCCAGCCCATCCCAGCCCATCCCATGGATCCTATCCCATCCCACTGATCCCAGCCCATGGATCCCATCCCATGGATCCCATCCCAGTCTCCCTCAGCCTCATTCCAGAGCCCAGTTGCAGCAGCCTGCTGGCCCCCACCCCACTGGGATGGGGACACCCCAAAGCCAAAGGCAAACCCAAGACCCCCCTCTAAGCTGTGCTCCACACCCCGTCCTTCATTCCTGGATTCTTTCCCTCTCTCCTGAAATAATTCATCAAATCCTGTTTTCTGCTGCTGACAGCCATGCTCACTTTTGGAATGTTTTTAGCATCCCCATAATTCCTCCAGCCTACAGGAAGATGAATTTCCACAAGAGAAATCAGGGCTTTGTATTGTCACTGTTATTTCTGCATTTAGGCCATAAATGCTGCAATCAAACATGTAGATTATCACTGTATCTTCAGCCCATGGCTGCATTTTAGCTGCTCCAGATCTTTCAGTTATCAACTTTTTGTGCGTTATCAAAGAAGCTTCCAAATTAGAAAAAGCAAAAAAAAAATCCTCGCTCCAGCATTTTTATTAATTATGAGGATATTTATTCAGGTTTCCCCTCATGTTTCTTTTGTGTACCCCAGGCAGGTTATTTTATGAATACCAAGGGACTGGTCCTATTTTTTCTTGCCCCAGTGGGCTGTGATGTCAGTGGAGTTATTTTGAATAGCCCTATTATAAAATAGGTCAGGATCAGGTACTTTTAGTGGATGAAGAGGGTGGTTTTTACCCCTTATTAAAATTTCACATTGAGCTTTATAAACTTTCGCAATGCATCAGCAGAACTTGTGATGAAAGCTCTAAAAAGCAAAGCTTTAGTCATTATTATTTATATATTCAATGTTTCAATGTTTTGGTGTTCTCCATTGCCTTGCAAGTCTCATTTTGTGGTCTGGCCTGAAGGGTTGTGAGCAGCTTTATGA